AGAAGTGTTCGTTACTGCGAAGATCGCTTTCATATTCACGTCTTTATTCGCAGTTCAAATGTATGACTTTCATATATTCACAACCGTTTACAGTCTCGGTTTATTCAACGCTTAAATTTTCTATAGTGATGTCTTCGGCTGATTTAACTGACTAATCATAGTATTTTATTTTATGCAAAACTCCTTCCAATGCCACGCTCAGAAGCCGACGCATCCCGCGGGATCGCCTTTACGCGTTTTGTTCCAATCTCTTCTTGATCGTTTTGAATACACTTGTCTAACATGTAGCTCTCATTGGTCAAGATAATTCCCTACTGAATAAGTAGGCGCCAAGATTATGTTGAGCTTCTTTTTTCTATTATTTTTTTCTTTTTCTTTTTTGCCTAGTTTAGTTTTCGCGTTATTCTAGCTTTTGTTTTGTCTTAATTAGTTATTTTTTCATTAGTTTAGGTTGAAGACTAGCGTCGGTTGAAGACTCGAGTAATAGCGGATTTTTTGGTCACAATCGTCTTTCGCTTCGCTTTGTTTCGTTTTACCTTGCTTGTTCGACTCGTTTAAATTTCGCTATAATTAGCCATGAACGTCAAGAATTACCGGGATCTTGACCATCGATTCGATTCGATTATGATGCAAATCATTCGCATACCTAGGGCGGAACAAAATTTACTCCGGCCTGAACCTGTGATATTGTTCATCGTCGAACTAGGAATATACGTGGGAAAAATCTCTTATTCGGTACCAGGCACACGATAATAAACCTTTCCACCGTTTTAATCTTTACGGAAGATTGACTAGCCGGCGAGCTTTCAAAGAAACTGCCGCAAAGTGAACTCTAAAATCGAACGATCTGCAAAGTTTGCGGCGATCCGTGGGAAGCGAATGAAATTATGGCTGTGCAAAGTCAGTAATATTACTTCCCGTACCATTATATACTTTTCCAAATTTCGCGACTTCGTGGCACCCGATCCTTATTAGTTTCCGCTCTATTTTTAATCTTCTCTTTCCGACAGTGTCGATGAAAATTCACTAACTGGTCTATTTCACGAGTTAAACAATCTGTAAAAGGTCCAGGAACCACGCTAATGACTCCATAGGCAGCCCGTTGGCCGCTTGTTAAAATGAGTAAGAAGAAGACCTTGTTCAATTCACAAACACTTTGGATACAAAAAGCAGTTTGAATAAATATGAAAATTAAAATACACACATACATACCGAGTTTCACGAGTCTCTTTGAAGAGTATACGCAATGTCGACCAACTAGATACGCTGAACAATGGTTTGGTAATTTATGCAGTCTGGTTTTGATAAAAAAAACCAGACTTTCCTGCCGTGACCGTGATGAGTAACGCAATTCTAATAAATATTAAACGTTTCGAACCCGGTTATGAATTTTAGGTAAGCCATAAAAACGTGGACATAAGCCGTCACTACGTATAGTCACTAATCTTACCAGCTTTTTCCAAATCAAGCAACATTTTAGTTAACTTTCTTTGAGTTCTAAACAAAATTTCAAGTCCAAATTTCCGTTCTTTTATTCAACTCTTTCTCTAAGTAAGCTTACACTGTCGAAGACGACGCATCATTGTAAGATAACTCTCTTTCTTGGAAACTAAAGACAATTCTAAGAGAAAACTGAGTGATTCATTTTGTATCACAACGCTTCCTTACATTTTGTTAGTGTCGTCATTTCGTTGACTTTATCACACATTAAAATTGTTATTCTCTTGTTGACGCTTGCGCAGCAAAGTATTCTCCACCATCATGTCAAACAAACTTTCATCTGTAAAACCTGAATCCTTGGCAACTATATTGACAACGCTCTGTGGACCAAAGGAACAGAATAAATTGCATTCTAGGAGGAATGGATTTCCTTCAACGTCTACTCGGAAGTCGAATAAACCAAAATCGTGTAAACCCAACTCTCGAAAAGCTCGGCAACTTTGTTGTTGAATACGATGAATCAGCTTCTCCTCTTTTCTGGGATTAAGGAACCATGGTTTATTTTCAGGAGATTTGCCTAGAATGAAAACAAACATAGAATCAAGCAAATTGTTAAGAGGACATCCGTGCAAAAATCAAACAAAAATGAAATTTTTATGGCAAGAGTCAAAAACTCAAATTGTCTCAATTTTTGCACACAAGTATACCCTAGTAAGACAATAAAGGCTGTGTATTTTTCCCCTCAAATATGTTGTTATTTTCGAGAAAAACGAACTTTTCGCTTTCACCCTCTGGAATCGATGGATCGGGTCATAACAGGTCGAAAATTGAACACTTTCGCTCGCTTCGCATTTCAAAGATATCACGTCTTGGGAAATCTAACCAACGTGAGCTCTTTCATAGACTCTTTTTCTTCTGTATAATGTAAGTTGTGTAGGAATTGGTTGCTTAGAAGCTTTTAGCCATGTAAAAAACAATGCGCTCCCTTCCGTTACAAAAAAAATGTCGGTGAAGAAAACCTCTTTGTTCACCATGTGCCATTATTCAGAATTCCACAAAATTACGTATGTAAATTTCTGAAGGAATGGTCTTCAAGATGACGTAAAGTTTTCATTGGGCAAATGTTTTCTTGCGACGCAGGAAACTCTTCTAAGTAGCGCACGGAAGACATAAAATCACGCAATATGTTGATTGCGTGACCAAAGAGTTAAGGAGCATTCCTGCCTTCGAAATGACTTCGGATTGAACAGTAGAACTTTTTCAGAAACAAATGACATAGCCATAACCAGTTTTGTCAAATTACGTTGCCCTTTATCATTTGAAGTTTGTTTCTACAGAGATGTTCCGCCATCGTTCTGTCTGGTACGATTATGCACCAGTGCCAGTAACGGACACGATTAAAAACTTTGCTGTTCTCTTGCATACGAATCTTAAGTTTCTGCCCATTGTTTAACTTTCTCTATGTGCTTACCCATGTAAATTTCTGAAGGAATGATCTTCAAGATGACGTAAAGTTTTCTTTGGGCAAATGTTTTCTCGCGACGCAGAAAACTCTTCAAAGTAGCACACCGAAGGCACAAAATCACGCCATATGTCGATTGCGTGACCAAAGAGTTAAGGAGCATTCCTGCATTTGAAATGACTCAAAATCGTACAGGAGAACGTTTTCAGAAACAAATAACAAATTTATACCCAGTTTTGTTAAATCAATTTGTCTATTATCATTTGAAGTTTGTTTCTGCAGAGATATTCTGCCATCGTTCTGTCTAGTATGATTATGCACTAGTGCCAGCAACGGTATACGATTAAAAAACTTTGCTGTTCTCTCGCATACGAATCTTAAGTTTCTGCCCCTTGTTTGACTTGCTAACCCGTGCCTTTTAACTAGCCTATGTAAAACGAAAATCCACAAAATGTTACTTTACAGAGGCCCTTGCAGGAGTTAAGTGAGGGCCTGCATGACCTAATTTGCATAATTGCGGTACGAGTCGTCGTGCTCGTGTGACAGAATAATTTGAACCTACGAGTGGAGTCGGTCGACGTCATTTGAATAGGCACAAATACGAGGAAAAGAAATAATGTCTCTAGATATCCATTTAGCTCTGAGCTTTCCTAAATTTGTACTCGTGTTATTTTTTTTCTGCGTGAGTAAAACTATGATGTTTGTTGACTTTTCTATTTAAAAGCGAGACAATTAATTGAATTAACAAAACTTATTTGTTATTTGCCGGCTGGGAGGTCCGTATGGTGAAAAACTGTGACCGAGGTCTTGAAAATACTGCCCGAGGCCGTACTGCCTACGGCCTCGGGCAATATTTTCAAGACCGACCTTAGCCGGTAAATAACATATTTATTGTTTTTAAACTTGACGAAATTCTTTCCGAAAGAACCCGAATGATTTATGGCCGTAAATACGGCAAGATCTTTCATAAACTGAACAATTTTTGAGTGAGTGAATGGTAGTTAAAATAGAGGTGATGCAAATTTAAGAGAGATGCCTCAGCGAAACATTTTCATTTCCGATAAAGGTGATTTAAAAGGCTTCCAAACAAACTTTGAAACATTATTTTTACAAGTATCTGTCACAATCTGACACCTGTCAATTAGAGAGCGCGCAAAAAAAAAAAAAATAAGCGTAGGAACATTTGAAAACCAACAGAACTAGTTTGGCAAGGACTGTCACGACAATGTTTTCTTCAAAATCAGTTAATGATCTAACGGAAAGTATTATTCACTCTCATCGACCATTCATTCATGTAAGAAGATTTACCTCTGTTCATTAAGTAAACGGCGAGGAAAGTAATTGTGAGTAAATTCAATTTTTTTATTTTGAAGTTGTGAGAGTTTGCTCGTTTTTTTGCTGTAATGGCGTGTTTAACTCTGATCTTTCCTTCACAAAAACTAAATTCGAACGGCACACTCCAACGAGATACAAGGGAATATAATGCGGCCTTTTCTCAAAAAATTCCTTCAATTTCTGTTGTGCAATTTAAGGTACAAATGTCCAAATTGAACGGAATTGGAAAGACTCACCAGGAGCGTATATTTGTTGTAGAACTTAAATTAAAACTTCGCTCGCTCTTTAACTATGAACAAATTGCTCGAGAAAATTCAGATATTAAATGAATGAAAGTTCCATCGTTCAGTTTAACTGTAACCAAATACCTCACGTTTCAACTTTCTGGGTACTTTTTTTGTGAACGATTAAAATTAATTGCAGACGGTTTTAGGCCGCTTGTCAACCAACGTAATGACACTATTGTTTATACAAATTCATTCTGAAACCAATATTTTTCTGTCAACCAAAGTGATTTGATAGAGAGAAAAGAGAGGATTCATAAGTTATTTATCGGCTTGAGGTAGTGACCGACGTGTGTGCTTAAAAATACTGCCCAGCCGGAAAACGAGGTATGTTTATGAAAAATGACGACGAAAGTTGGGATGTACTCGGCGACTCACGAAAGCGTTACCGTGGCCCGTGGGCAGAGATAGGAAAATACTGACCGGGTAAAGAACCAATCAGATTGCAAGATTCGTTACCGTGCCCTCTAAAAAAACAATAAAAAGAATTATTTCCCGCCCCCCTTTGAATCGAAGGTCTCGCTTATGAATGAAATGGAAGCTTCTAGCTCATTCAAGTTTATGGTTGGAAGTGCTTGCTCGTACGACCGACAAGACAGGAGTAAATTATTTGAGGTGGTCCCCTTGGTGTCGTGCAATAAGGATGTACAGGGTCATAAAAGTGCTTGGTGTTTTGCCGGAGTTAAGAACGAGAGTGAACTTAACCTTGCCCGAGCAGGTACTTTTTACATGAGTGCAAAGGATATAAACGCCTTAACAATCTGTCCTTTCCACCGTTCTGAGCTCGGCGAAGGAGCCAGAATACCTTCAGAATTCCAAATGATTGTAGGGATGTCAGCCCTGATCTCTCTAGAAGTCGAGAGAGCTGTACAGGAAGTGGGAGGCACAACCGATACGAAAGAGGATTTGGCCTTTGTGAGATACAGTCCAAACAAAGCATAAATTCCTGGAAAGCGCATTTACTGCGTTCAACAAACCAGGACGAGTCCAGACCAGACCTCATCGATGAGCTGGATGAAACTTCTGCCTTACTGGTCTTAGACCGGGCAATGAAATATCTACCAAAGAAATTTAGGGAGAGACAAACAGACTGGTTTGGTAAGAGAGATCTGCCATGGCATATCACGGTTGCGACGAGAAAGGGAAATGATGGCAAGATTGAGATGATGACATTTGTACACTTATTTGAGACGTGTAACCAGGACAGTTCTGCAGTTCTTGCCATACTTAACGACGTCTTTCGTCGACTGAAGGATGTCATGCCTCATTTACAATCCATTTACCTTAGACAAGACAACGCCGGGTATTACCACTGCGCTTTAACCCTGGTTACAGCCAGCAAAGTAGCAGAGATCCCCAAGGAGGGAAGGGATCTTGCGATCGGAAAGCTGCAAAGATCAAATCCCATATGGCTATCCATTTGAATTCAGGCCACGATATAGAGTCGGTATCTCAAATGCAGGAGGCAGTAGAATCATTTGGAGGTGTCCCTGGATTAAAAGCAGTGTTGTACAGGCCTCCTTTGTCTTCCATCAAAAAGCCAGTGAAATAGGATGTTGTGAGCTTTGTCAACAACGTTCAGTATGGCGAGGAAGGTGTGAGAGTATGGAGATACGGCTACAAAATTGGAAGAGGCAAATTCATTCCTTGGAGCAAGTTTCATGTTCCTGACCAGGACGAAGTTCCAACGCTGGAATGCAGTGCAGCAAGCGAAAACATAAAAGCTAATTTTGTTCCTATCAAGCCGAGACGAGCTGAGTTTGCTAAAACATCTCAAAAGCACCAAGACAGCACTGATGAAGGTACCGATGATTCAAGTGAAGAATCGCGCGATTCCACAACTAAAAATATTTTTTTCTGCTCGGAAGAGGGTTGCATTAAGTCCTATCAACGCCATTCGTCATTACAGAAGCATCTCGAATGTGGGAGACATAAATATGTTCTTGAATATGAAACTCTTTATGACCGCGCCGTGCTAGGGTATGCCTCTAGACTGGAGAAGGGACCGAGTGCTGTGCCGCAACTGCTGGACACGGAATCCACCCGTCATCGTCTGTAGCTTTTCTTGAAATGGGATAGGCCCTAAAGGAGAGTCGTCCTCGCAATCCCGTTTCACTGATAAGCAAAAGGACTACTTGATAGCCAAGTTTGAGACTGGAGAACAAACGGGACAAAAGGCAGATGCTGCAAGTGTCTCAAGATTAATGAGGTCTGAGAAAGACGAAAACGGCGAGCAGCTATTTGACTGCTCTGAGTTTCTTAAATTGCTGAAATTTGTTAGAAGCGCCGAAAAGGTTATTTGCTGTTAAGAGCAGTGACAGTTAAGACAGGCGATATTGACTCTTTCGCGGTTAATTAAGTTTTGTAAATTTAATTGTCTTGCCTATACGTCACAAAGCGAACACACATTGCGGTAATTAAAAAGTGTTTTCACTCCAGCAGAAAAAATCAGCTTGGGTTAAAAAAAGGCAAAATCAGAGCCAAATGGATATTTAGACTTGCTTTTTCCTTTTTTACGTAATTGTGCTTATTTTAGAAAATGACCGTCGAGCGACCATAACTGCAATTATGCTAATTGGGTCATGCAAGCCCTCACTTAGTCCACTTAATTCTTGCAAAAACCTCCCTTTGAAAACTCTGTTGGTTTTTATCGAGTGCTAGTTAAAAGGCATGGGTAAGCACATAGCGAAAATTAAACAATGGGCAGAAACTTAAGATTCGTATGCAAGAGAACAGCAAAGTTTTTAATCGTATCCGTTACTGGCACTGGTGCATAATCTTACTAGACAGAACGATGGCGGAACATCTCTGTAGAAACAAACTTCAAATGATAAAGGGCAATGTAATTTGACAAAACTGGTTATGGCTATGTCATTTGTTTCTAAAAAAGTTCTACTGTTCAATCCGAAGTCATTTCGAAGGCAGGAATGCTCCTTAACTCTTTGGTCACGCAATCAACATATTGCGTGATTTTATGTCTTCCGTGCGCTACTTAGAAGAGTTTCCTGGGTCGCAAGAAAACATTTGCCCAAAGAAAACTTCACGTCATCTTGAAGATCATTCCTTCAGAATCGCAAATCAAATCGCAAGTTAATCCACTGGAGGTTTGTTTTGCACGGTCGCATTAAGGGGTATAGTAGAGCAATAGTTTACATAAAGTGTTTCACCAACAACGTAGCGGGTACAGCATTGCAATGCTTCACGGATGGAATACAAGAATTTGGAGTTCCATCACGGGTTAGAAGTGATAGGGGCGCGGAAACGTGAATGTTGCTCGATTTATGATTGATCAGAAGGGGCTTCATAGCTGGACGCAGCACGCACAATCAAAGGATACAGAGGCTTTGTGCAGAGGTTAACATTTACATTGATCTATTCGTTTTTATGGAAAATACTGGCATTCTTGACGCACATGATGAACTATTTCAACAAAGCCTTCCAAGCTATCGTGTATATATTCCATATTTCTGTCGTTTCCGGGAGCTGTGCATCGTTCTATATGAGAAATACAATCCTGTATAGACAAAAGAAACCTCTCCAAGTCCTCCACAGGACCGTCAGCAATTTGAAGAACGACAACGATCCATAAAAAAGCTACGTAAGCAACAGATCTGCAAACCGGCATGTTGTTTGATCATTTTGGCGGCAAATGACGGCATGACATATTGGGTATTATTGTTTTTTTAGAGGGCACGGTAACGAATCTTGCAATCTGATTGGTTCTTTACCCGGTTAACATTCCAATCAAGTTCCTCTTCATTAACCTCGCTGTATTCAAGAATACCAAATTCTGTTGTTCTTCTGAACAGAGTCCTGGCACTAACACCTGAACACTTTGCAATAATTGCCTACTGCATACCAGTGCTTCGAAATACATCAATTCGTTCTGCTGTAATGTTGTATTTTGGTCTTCCTAATGAACTTCTTTCGCGGTAAGGTACACTACGAAACTCAGCACTGACTTGAAAAGAAGCAGTATTTTTATGCCTGATGTGGTTTAGTAACTCCCGCAAGAAGTGTGGAAGGTCGTCAACCAGCACTTTTATCTCTAAAAAGCCTTGGACATTGGCGAGAACTAAAGAAAACGCTGCGATTATTTCAACAAAGCCTTCCAAGCGATCGTGTTTACATTCCATTTTTCTCTCGTTTCCTGGAGCTGTGCGTCGTTCTATATGGGAAATGCAATCCTGTATAGACAACAGAAACCTCTCCAAGTCCTTCACATTACCGTCAGCAACTTGAAGAACGACAATGATGTATAAAAAGGCTACGTAACCAACAGATCTACAAACTGCCCTATCGTTTGATCGTTTTGGCGGCAACTCGGGTATTCTCGACTTGATGAAAAGATTTTCGACTCAGAAAAATTCTCAACTAGCTGTCAGAATTCGAATCGAAGAAATAATTCTCGACTGGCTTGCCATAACTTGTAGAGCAGGGATCTACTCCTGCAAAACATTTAAGTCTCTCGCCGTTTTTTTTTTCTTTTTTTTTCATTTATTTATTCTCAGCACTAAGGGAATCGTAATAACCTCGCAAAGATTGCACGCAATCGCCTTCGACGACCGCCATGTTGTTTTACCTGGTATGCAAAATGGCGGCATACGTACGGTTGCTGTGGGATCACGTGACGCATACAAGACCTCCGCTATTTGGGATTCAAAAAATTTATGGGCAGGGAACCCAAGTAGCCTGACGACGCCCTGAAAATGTGGCTTCGTAGCACATATGTTAATTACCGGTGTTGTTGGTGGAATTAAAGACGTATATCTCCAGTACTTACCAACAGGTAATCCTTTTTCATTGCAGCTGAGTTTGTCTTCAGTTCTTCGAATGTCATTTTCTCGTACTTTATACTCGATGCACGACAGAGCTTTTAATTCTCCATTTGCTGCTGATTCAACAACAGCGCAGCGAATTTCCCGTCCCTCTATGTAACTGCCGAAAAAAAATTAAGGAGGAAACGAAATAGAAAATCATTGAATAGGATTAATTTTTTTAATTGTAAAACGTCATAAGGCTGCAAAATTACACATAGTCTCTACGCAAGGCGTGTGGTCCCACTCCAATGAATACAAAGGAGGGGTCGAATTATTATGATAGAGTAATCTACTATGTTACAGGAAAGCCCCACAAGTCTGCATTCCGAAATAGCTTGTTCAAAGTCTAAAGCCTACTTGGTACACTAGTAAGATTTGCAGCCTCTTGTTTAGTATCCCGCCAAAACTTACTTCGTACTTCAGACTGACCCGTTGTTTCTTTTTAACAATTCAAGCCAATTTCACAGGAAAACGCGAACGACCAAGTCGGGATTGGTTTTCGCTTTACCATTTGATTGGTCGAGAAGGTAGTACGATTATGTTTACCAATTACAAAGCATACTGAAGAAAAAAACTAATGTCAACTCGGATTACTTTCGACAAGCAATTAAAATTGCTTTCTTTTAATTCATGCATGTCTCAAACCTCATTGAGAACCATCTGATCTAAGAGCTAACAAACTTAAGCTTTAAGGCTTTTTCAGGAGATGCACAAACTTTTTTCAAGAAAAACGGCTGTGAATAAACAGGTTTCCTCGTATTTTGAGTCACTTACAGTCAAATTTACACAAGTACTTTGAATGTTTCCCTGTATTTAAACAAATGCTTTCATCGACAAATCAGATTCATCCGATTTTGGATCCGACTTACAGTTTCCTTCATATCTAAGCTTGACAACAACTTGGCCTATCGGTTTATCAATATCATCACGGTCAAAACAGCCAAACCATGTTCACTCCTACGCGCTTCCTCGACTTCAGCACTTACTCAACGGCAATACCTACCTTTCAATGATCACATGGTCTGAATACGATAACGCATGCTCAATAGCTGCGTTAAGTAATTTGGAGTCTTTCACTAATCGCACTGCTTTGGTGTCTTCTCCTAGACTTGCTTTGACAACACATGGATACCTAACTTGTTCAGACTCTAGAGGGTCACCTGTAGCAAAAGAATTCTCAAAGTCAATCCGATTTAAATTACCAATCATTTTTTATTTGTCGGTGGTGAGTTACTAGCGTCAACAAAGCTTCGTAGACTCATTGTAAAACAGTATAAAATTGATGCAAATTGATACAGTTACTTTTTTAATTCACAGTGGTGCTATCAAGAGAGGGAAGACTTGGTAAGGTGTGAGTCGGGTCCAATTTGAAACTGATCTCTTTTCTATAAGTCCGTTTTCTAACACCTTAAACTCAGTATTGTGTACATTTTTTCGCTAGCCAAATGGTTTACTTTTCATTCGTAGGAAATAGCGGAGCACAGAAGCTTGGAATGACAACTTGAAGGTTAGATCTCTTACTGAGGGGTTTGTTAGTTTCAATTTGATGTAGTTTGTTTGTTAGCTTGGTAAGGAGTTCAAAAAGGGATCTAAAAATATCGTTTTCTCTTACAAGAGTGTCGCTTCTACCTTTGTGGTAAATAAATCCATCAGGGCATGAAACATCGCCGCAAGAGACCAAAACACCACGTGTAATGAGTTTGTCCATGGAAAGATATCGCGATTCCACTGATCCACCCACTAATGGAATATCCAATGCATCAAAGAGCGCCCTGTGGATAAGAAAACGAAAAGCCTCTGTCAGTATTAAAGATAAGAGATCTCTGTATTGTATGGAGGAAACTGCTTCAGTCACTATTCGCTTTGATTCATGTAAGGGTACCTTTCTGTTCTCTACAATATTTCTAAAAGTAATGAAGTTTTCTTTCAAATGGAAGGCCATGAAGGCTAATTTGTATACAAACAATGAATGAAAATCATGTGCGCCATTTGGAAAGAGATCTATTTACTGATCACTTTTGCAATATCAAAAGAATCGGAGTGTGCCCTATTACAGAGGCGTAACTAGAACAGTGCGTAAGATCATCAACAGACGTCAAGAATTTAACGTTTGGTAGCGAAACAAACGACTCAATTCGCGTAAACTAACTTGTTCCGTGCAAAACATGAGAATAAACAATTTATAAGAACTCGCAAAATGACGCAAAAGTCACGGAGTTAGTCATTAAAACCAGACGAGACAAACTACATTAAATTGAAACTAACAAACCCCTCAGTAAGAGATCTGACCTGTAAGTTGTCATTCCTTTTAAACAAACAAAATGGAGTAGAGCCATATCTGGTTGTATCACATGTTTAATGTGCTGCAAGGCGGCAGTGATGTCCATCTTCTTGAGACTGTTTCCTCTTTCCTCCAATTTTGTCAAATCCACGATATCAGAAAGTCTTTCCGCAAATGACCAGGAACCAGCTGGTCGCACGAGGGCGTAAACAAAATGATAATCATATTTTGGGGACTGCATTCCCTCGTGAAACGAACCCCCATACAGCATGTTTAACTTGAAGCTGAATTCATCCGAAGGTGAACCCAAAACATGTAAAATCTGAAACAATAAGAGATTTTTTAACAGTAAGCCTCACTTAATGTGATTCCTCAGATAACAAAGATATTGAATAGTTCTTTTAACTTTCCTAAAATGTTTCCCACCAATGTTTGTTTCGAAAATTGCAATGAAAAAGATAGGTCACCGTGCTTTCTTAAGTGATATGATGAGCTATGTTGGCCCAATCCTACTCCCATTTTCCGCCAGTTATGCCCGTACAGTCGGATCTTGATTAGCTGTATGTTGCCGATCAAGTTAAAGAAAGGCAACGGGAGGCGACGGGGGAAAAATTTTTTATACAAAGGAAATGATGTGTTGTAGGATGCATTTAATCGAAAAAAGGTGACGATGGTAGTGGTAATGATTGCCGAGTTTATTCTGCCGAGAAAAAAACGAGAAATGATGAAACGTAATCCACTAAGATTTTAGCCGTTAGGAAGGCTGTGACGACTTGCTTACGCTCAAAACGTCGGAATCATGCACTATTATTCGTTCGTTCAAATGGCAAAAATTATCATCAACTATCATCTCGAATTTTAACATGTTCAAATTGCATGATAGTTGATAGCAGTTAGTGACACACTCTATTTTTATATAATAACGTCTAATTTTGGGGCTGAGGATAAATGTTCCTTGGTTTTTCGCGATTTGAGCCTCAAAACGTAATTAACATCTTAGAGTTGTGTGGTATAGTATTTCAACAAATCAAATGCACTGTTTGCTGTGATGTGGTATTAAGTTGCTTGTCACATAGTTGTGAGCCTTGCTTTGATGTCGCGAACAAGATGTCCTGCAAACCAATCCTTGTTAACCTTGGCTTCACAAAAGCAAAATGAACAAAAAAAAGACGTTCTTCACTGACTCTTATGCTGGGTATTGTTGTGTACCGCAATTACCATACCCCGCGAACTTAGAATCTGCATGATTTTCTTGTATGTCTTCTGTGTGTATTCGTTTGTACAGCTTATTGAGTCATTTTTAGTACATCACTCTTGCACTTGTTATCAATTAGGAATCGGGTTATTAAAACCTTAAGTCTTCAATGGTAAAATGTCGTCTCTACTTCACAACAGGTTTACAATAAAGCATTTACCTTTACTGTTTTCTTCATCCTTTGCTTTCGATTAGAGTGTTGTGTGGACGTACCGTCTGCCAAAATTCAAAATATCTGAGTAAATTAATTACATCACGTAAATAGCCCAAGTTTGCACCCTTGTAGCATGGTTCCCGGGAATGCCCTTTTTGACGTAACAACCTTTCCTGACCCAGTGCCTGAGATGCGCGGTCGATCCAGGTGTTCGGTTAGTAGAACAAAGCGCCACAGTAACGGCGGCGTTAAAAGGCCTAATTCGTTCAGTTTTATCAATTGAACGCCAAAAACAGGATAGGGGTTTAGGGTTTACGTTAAAGATGACCCATTACTGTGATGTGTTTCGACACTCTGGGTTCATTAGTTGTTCTGCTTTCCTGACTTGAACCGGGTGAAAATGCAAAAAAACTACGAAAAAATTGTTAGTAGCACGTTCGCGAGGGTTGTTACTAAATTGTGGATCAGTAGACCGTAGAACCTCCGAAACCATCGGAACTTGCGGAACCACTAATTTTTTGTAAAAAAAGTGAAGTAAAATAAGAACTAAAAATACCTCAACAATGTTCGAAATTTCGTTTTCGGGTATATAGAGATAACGTTAAAGGGGAAATATGTTATACATATACATATACATATATATATTTAAACATATATACATATATATTTATACATACATACATACATACATACATACATACATATATATATATATATATGTTTGTATGCATTTATTGGATCAATATCAGTATCTGGGCAACTGTCCACCAACCCCTCCCTTTACCCAACATTAACCTTAACTTGTTGTCAATTGACTGTTGTTGGGTTAGGGGAGGGGTAGTTGGGCAGTTGCCCAGATACTGATATTGATCCCATTTACTTATTTAATGATTGATTATCTTGACGTCCAGCCACATGAAGCCTAAGCTTACACAGTGAGCCTCTATGGACCCCGCGACTCTGTGAATATGCAAATATATATTCACTTGCGAATTCCAACAAAAACCGAAAGACCTTGACACTGTTTAAAAGTTCGTTTCGGGTATAAAGAGAAATATGTTTTAATTTTCTTTGACGTCCAACTTAACTGTGGGACATTCACCGTCCACGGGTACGTAATATCTACAGAAGCAATCAGCAGTCACCCACCCCAAGCGTGAAAAATTCAACCATAATTTGAAAGCTCTAAGGGTTTGGGTTCGGCGATGTCCGGGTAACACCTCATCCGAAGGCTCCCAGCAAACCTTTAAGCTGGAATCGGCGACACCTATGACACATTGTCATCGCGTAACTTATTGTCATATAATTTCCTGTGTGTATTGCGTTTACGCGTAAAATACCTGAGATTGTTTATACGTTTCATTGGTTGTATTGCGTACTTGTGGTTGATGTTTCTACCGTTGCGGAATGTTATGTAATTATTTCGAGTAATTTGTCGAGTTTTGTGTAGAAATTAAGTCCTAGAGATCAATGTAAACATATCTACATATTCCGCTGGTTCCGGAGGCCCCTCGCTGGGAAATAACTCAGTACAGTTTTATTAGCTGTATTTATGTGTGAACAGCCTGTTTTCGTACATGTGAAGGTTTTTTAAAAAACAAATTACGGCGGCTGAAAATATACGCTCTCAAAGGAGAAAAGTCGTTGTCAACGGAAATGGAAATTGTCTTTTTACCGAGCTGCGACTCTTTGGAGGGATGAAACAAGCAATGAGAAGCACGAGGAGATCAGTAGGTCGAGATCTAGTTTGTTTCAGAAAAATCCCAAGATTTTTCAGCTGCCACTCCTCGCTAACTAACCTTGTAGTTAACTCCTAGTCAAATATAAACACAGTCTCGGTTCGAAAATGAAGCGATCTTCGCAATGACGAACATACTTGAGCAGTGGTGAAAATAAGGCCTGAAAAGAATTCAGGACTAATAGGGATTTGAACCCATGACCTCTGCGATACCGCTGCAACGCTCTGCCAACTGAACTAACAAGTCAACTGGGAGCTGGTCATTATTTTGGTTCCAAATAAACCCTTGAAGTGGTGAATAAACGACTGTAAATATATGAAAGTCATACATTTGAACTGCGGATAAAAACGTGAATATGTAGGCGATCTTCGCAGTAACGATATTCATTTTCACTATTGCCCAAGAAGTTCGTATCGCAAAGGTCATGGGTTCAAATCCCCTACAGGCCTGAATCTTTTTCAGGCCTTTTCTTCGCTACTGCTCAAGAAGTGTTCGTTACTGCGAAGATCGCTTTCATATTCACGTCTTTATTCGCAGTTCAAATGTATGACTTTCATATATTCACAACCGTTTACAGTCTCGGTTTATTCAACGCTTAAATTTTCTATAGTGATGTCTTCGGCTGATTTAACTGACTAATCATAGTATTTTATTTTATGCAAAACTCCTTCCAATGCCACGCTCAGAAGCCGACGCATCCCGCGGGATCGCCTTTACGCGTTTTGTTCCAATCTCTTCTTGATCGTTTTGAATACACTTGTCTAACATGTAGCTCTCATTGGTCAAGATAATTCCCTACTGAATAAGTAGGCGCCAAGATTATGTTGAGCTTCTATTCTATTATTTTTTTCTTTTTCTTTTTTGCCTAGTTAAGTTTTCGCGTTATTCTAGCTTTTGTTTTGTCTTAATTAGTTATTTTTTCATTAGTTTAGGTTGAAGACTAGCGTCGGTTGAAGACTCGAGTAATAGCGGATTTTTTGGTCACAATCGTCTTTCGCTTCGCTTTGTTTCGTTTTACCTTGCTTGTTCGACTCGTTTAAATTTCGCTATAATTAGCCATGAACGTCAAGAATTACCGGGATCTTGACCATCGATTCGATTCGATTATGATGCAAATCATTCGCATACCTAGGGCGGAACAAAATTTACTCCGGCCTGAACCTGTGATATTGTTCATCGTCGAACTAGGAATATACGTGGGGAAAAATCTCTTATTCGGTACCAGGCACACGATAATAAACCTTTCCACCGTTTTAATCTTTACGGAAGATTGACTAGCCGGCGAGCTTTCAAAGAAACTGCCGCAAAGTGAACTCTAAAATCGAACGATCTGCAAAGTTTGCGGCGATCCGTGGGAAGCGAATGAAATTATGGCTGTGCAAAGTCAGTAATATTACTTCCCGTACCATTATATACTTTTCCAAATTTCGCGACTTCGTGGCACCCGATCCTTATTAGTTTCCGCTCTATTTTTAATCTTCTCTTTCCGACAGTGTCGATGAAAATTCACTAACTGGTCTATTTCACGAGTTAAACAATCTGTAAAAGGTCCAGGAACCACGCTAATGACTCCATAGGCAGCCCGTTGGCCGCTTGTTAAAATGAGTAAGAAGAAGACCTTGTTCAATTCACAAACACTTTGGATACAAAAAGCAGTTTGAATAAATATGAAAATTAAAATACACACATACATACCGAGTTTCACGAGTCTCTTTGAAGAGTATACGCAATGTCGACCAACTAGATACGCTGAACAATGGTTTGGTAATTTATGCAGTCTGGTTTTGATGTAAAAAAAACCAGACTTTCCTGCCGTGACCGTGATGAGTAACGCAATTCTAATAAATATTAAACGTTTCGAACCCGGTTATGAATTTTAGGTAAGCCATAAAAACGTGGACATAAGCCGTCACTACGTATAGTCACTAATCTTACCAGCTTTTTCCAAATCAAGCAACATTTTAGTTAACTTTCTTTGAGTTCTAAACAAAATTTCAAGTCCAAATTTCCGTTCTTTTATTCAACTCTTTCTCTAAGTAAGCTTACACTGTCGAAGACGACGCATCATTGTAAGATAACTCTCTTTCTTGGAAACTAAAGACAATTCTAAGAGAAAACTGAGTGATTCATTTTGTATCACAACGCTTCCTTACATTTTGTTAGTGTCGTCATTTCGTTGACTTTATCACACATTAAAATTGTTATTCTCTTGTTGACGCTTGCGCAGCAAAGTATTCTCCACCATCATGTCAAACAAACTTTCATCTGTAAAACCTGAATCCTTGGCAATTATATTGACAACGCTCTGTGGACCAAAGGAACAGAATAAATTGCATTCTAGGAGGAATGGATTTCCTTCAACGTCTACTCGGAAGTCGAATAAACCAAAATCGTGTAAACCCAACTCTCGAAAAGCTCGGCAACTTTGTTGTTGAATACGATGAATCAGCTTCTCCTCTTTTCTGGGATTAAGGAACCATGGTTTATTTTCAGGAGATTTGCCTAGAATGAAAACAAACATAGAATCAAGCAAATTGTTAAGAGGACATCCGTGCAAAAATCAAACAAAAATGAAATTTTTATGGCAAGAGTCAAAAACTCAAATTGTCTCAATTTTTGCACACAAGTATACCCTAGTAAGACAATAAAGGCTGTGTATTTTTTTCCCCTCAAATATGTTGTTATTTTCGAGAAAAACGAACTTTTCGCTTTCACCCTCTGGAATCGATGGATCGGGTCATAACAGGTCGAAAATTGAACACTTTCGCTCGCTTCGCATTTCAAAGATATCACGTCTTGGGAAATCTAACCAACGTGAGCTCTTTCATAGACTCTTTTTCTTCTGTATAATGTAAGTTGTGTAGGAATTGGTTGCTTAGAAGCTTTTAGCCATGTAAAAAAACAATGCGCTCCCTTCCGTTACAAAAAAATGTCGGTGAAGAAAACCTCTTTGTTCACCATGTGCCATTATTCAGAATTCCACAAAATTACGTATGTAAATTTCTGAAGGAATGGTCTTCAAGATGACGTAAAGTTTTCATTGGGCAAATGTTTTCTTGCGACGCAGGAAACTCTTCTAAGTAGCGCACGGAAGACATAAAATCACGCAATATGTTGATTGCGTGACCAAAGAGTTAAGGAGCATTCCTGCCTTCGAAATGACTTCGGATTGAACAGTAGAACTTTTTCAGAAACAAATGACATAGCCATAACCAGTTTTGTCAAATTACGTTGCCCTTTATCATTTGAAGTTTGTTTCTACAGAGATGTTCCGCCATCGTTCTGTCTGGTACGATTATGCACCAGTGCCAGTAACGGACACGATTAAAAACTTTGCTGTTCTCTTGCATACGAATCTTAAGTTTCTGCCCATTGTTTAACTTTCTCTATGTGCTTACCCATGTAAATTTCTGAAGGAATGATCTTCAAGATGACGTAAAGTTTTCTTTGGGCAAATGTTTTCTCGCGACGCAGAAAACTCTTCAAAGTAGCACACCGAAGGCACAAAATCACGCCATATGTTGATTGCGTGACCAAAGAGTTAAGGAGCATTCCTGCATTTGAAATTACTCAAAATCGTACAGGAGAACGTTTTCAGAAACAAATAACAAATTTATACCCAGTTTTGTTAAATTAATTTGTCTATTATCATTTGAAGTTTGTTTCTGCAGAGATATTGTGCCATCGTTCTGTCTAGTATGATTATGCACTAGTGCCAGCAACGGTATTCGATTAAAAAACTTTGCAGTTCTCTCGCATACTAATCTTAAGTTTCTGCCCCTTGTTTGACTTGCTAACCCGTGCCTTTTAACTAGCCTATGGAAAACGAAAATCCACAAAATGTTACCTTACAGAGGCCCTTGCAGGAGTTAAGTGAGGGCTTGCATGACCTAATTTGCTTAATTGCGGTACGAGTCGTCGTGCTCGTGTGACAGAATAATTTGGACCTACGAGTGGAGTCGGTCGACGTCATTTGAATAGGCACAAATACGAGGAAAAGAAATAATGTGTCTAGATATCCATTTAGCTCTGAGTTTTCCTAAATTCGTACTCGTGTTTTTTTTTTCTGCGTGAGTAAAACTATGATGTTTGTTGACTTTTCTATTTAAAAGCGAGACAATTAATTGAATTAACAAAACTTATTTGTTATTTGCCGGCTGGGAGGTCCGTATGGTGAAAAACTGTGACCGAGGTCTTGAAAATACTGCCCGAGGCCGTACTGCCTACGGCCTCGGGCAATATTTTCAAGACCGACCTTAGCCGGTAAATAACATATTTATTGTTTTTAAACTTGACGAAATTCTTTCCGAAAGAACCCGAATGATTTATGGCCGTAAATACGGCAAGATCTTTCATAAACTGAACAATTTTTGAGTGAGTGAATGGTAGTTAAAATAGAGGTGATGCAAATTTAAGAGAGATGCCTCAGCGAAACATTTTCATTTCCGATAAAGGTGATTTAAAAGGCTTCCAAACAAACTTTGAAACATTATTTTTACAAGTATCTGTCACAATCTGACACCTGTCAATTAGAGAGCGCGCAAGAAAAAAATAAGCGTAGGAACATTTGAAAACCAACAGAACTAGTTTGGCAAGGACTGTCACGACAATGTTTTCTTCAAAATCAGTTAATGATCTAACGGAAAGTATTATTCACTCTCATCGACCATTCATTCATGTAAGAAGATTTACCTCTGTTCATTAAGTAAACGGCGAGGAAAGTAATTGTGAGTAAATTCAATTTTTTTATTTTGAAGTTGTGAGAGTTTGCTCGTTTTTTTGCTGTAATGGCGTGTTTAACTCTGATCTTTCCTTCACAAAAACTAAATTCGAACGGCACACTCCAACGAGATACAAGGGAATATAATGCGGCCTTTTCTCAAAAAATTCCTTCAATTTCTGTTGTGCAATTTAAGGTACAAATGTCCAAATTGAACGGAATTGGAAAGACTCACCAGGAGCGTATATTTGTTGTAGAACTTAAATTAAAACTTCGCTCGCTCTTTAACTATGAACAAATTGCTCGAGAAAATTCAGATATTAAATGAATGAAAGTTCCATCGTTCAGTTTAACTGTAACCAAATACCTCACGTTTCAACTTTCTGGGTACTTTTTGTGAACGATTAAAATTAATTGCAGACGGTTTTTAGGCCGCTTGTCAACCAACGTAATGACACTATTGTTTATACAAATTCATTCTGAAACCAATATTTTTCTGTCAACCAAAGTGATTTGATAGAGAGAAAAGAGAGGATTCATAAGTTATTTATCGGCTTGAGGTAGTGACCGACGTGTGTGCTTAAAAATACTGCCCAGCCGGAAAACGAGGTATGTTTATGAAAAATGACGACGAAAGTTGGGATGTACTCGGCGACTCACGAAAGCGTTACCGTGGCCCGTGGGCAGAGATAGGAAAATACTGACCGGGTAAAGAACCAATCAGATTGCAAGATTCGTTACCGTGCCCTCTAAAAAAACAATAAAAAGAATTATTTCCCGCCCCCTTTGAATCGAAGGTCTCGCTTATGAATGAAATGGAAGCTTCTAGCTCATTCAAGTTTATGGTTGGAAGTGCTTGCTCGTACGACCGACAAGACAGGAGTAAATTATTTGAGGTGGTCCCCTTGGTGTCGTGCAATAAGGATGTACAGGGTCATAAAAGTGCTTGGTGTTTTGCCGGAGTTAAGAACGAGAGTGAACTTAACCTTGCCCGAGCAGGTACTTTTTACATGAGTGCAAAGGATATAAACGCCTTAACAATCTGTCCTTTCCACCGTTCTGAGCTCGGCGAAGGAGCCAGAATACCTTCAGAATTCCAAATGATTGTAGGGATGTCAGCCCTGATCTCTCTAGAAGTCGAGAGAGCTGTACAGGAAGTGGGAGGCACAACCGATACGAAAGAGGATTTGGCCTTTGTGAGATACAGTCCAAACAAAGCATAAATTCCTAGAAAGCGCATTTACTGCGTTCAACAAACCAGGACGAGTCCAGACCAGACGTCATCGATGAGCTAGATGAAACTTCTGCCTAGCTGGTCTTAGACCGGGCAATGAAATATCTACCAAAGAAATTTAGGGAGAGCCAAACAGACTGGTTTGGTAAGAGAGATCTGCCATGGCATATCACGGTTGCGACGAGAAAGGGAAATGATGGTAAGATTGAGATGATGACATTTGTGCACTTATTTGAGACGTGTAACTAGGACAGTTCTGCAGTTCTTGCCATACTTAACGACGTCTTTCGTCGACTGAAGGATGTCATGCCCATTTACAATCCATTTATCTTAGACAAGACAACGCCGGGTGTTACCACTGCGCTTTAACCCTGGTTACAGCCAGCGAAGTAGCAGAGATCCCCAAGGAGGGAAGGGATCTTGCGATCGGAAAGCTGCAAAGATCAAATCCCATATGGTCATCCATTTGAATTCAGGCCACGATATAGAGTCGTTATCTCAAATGCAGGAGGCAGTAGAATCATTTGGGGGTGTCCCTGGAGTAGAAGCAGTGTTGTGCAGGCCTCCTTTGTCTTCCATCAAAAAGCCAGTGAAATGGGATGTTGTGAGCTTGGTCAACAACGTTCAGTATGGCGAGGAAGGTGTCAGAGTATGGAGATCCGGCTACAAAATTCATTCCTTGGAGCAAGTTTCATGTTCCTGACCAGGACGAAGTTTCAACACTTCAATGCAGTGCAGCAAGCGAAAACATAAAAGCTAATTTTGTTCCTATCAAGCCGAGACGAACTGAGTTTGCTAAAACATCTCAAAAGCACTAAGACAGAACTGATGAAGGTACTGATGATTCAAGTGAAGAATCGCGCGATTCCACAACTAAAATATTTTTTTCTGCTCGGAAGAGGGTTGCATTAAGTCCTATCAACGCCACTCGTCTTTACAGAAGCATCTCGAATGTGGGAGACACAAATATGTTCTTGAATATGAAACTCTTTATGACCGCGCCGTGCTAGGGTATGCCTTTAGACTGGAGAAGGGACCGAGTGCTGTGCCGCAACTGCTGGACACGGAATCCACCCGTCATCGTCTGTAGCTTTTCTTGAAATGGGATAGGCCCTAAAGGAGAGTCGTCCTCGCAATCCCGTTTCACTGATAAGCAAAAGGACTACTTGATAGCCAAGTTTGAGACTGGAGAACAAACGGGACAAAAGGCAGATGCTGCAAGTGTCTCAAGATTAATGAGGTCTGAGAAAGACGAAAACGGCGAGCAGCTATTTGACTGCTCTGAGTTTCTTAAATTGCTGAAATTTGTTAGAAGCGCCGAAAAGGTTATTTGCTGTTAAGAGCAGTGACAGTTAAGACAGGCGATATTGACTCTTTCGCGGTTAATTAAGTTTTGTAAATTTAATTGTCTTGCCTATACGTCACAAAGCGAACACACATTGCGGTAATTAAAAGTGTTTTCACTCCAGCAGAAAAAAATCAGCTTGGGTTAAAAAAGGCAAAATCAGAGCCAAATGGATATTTAGACTTGCTTTTTTCCTTTTTACGTAATTGTGCTTATTTTAGAAAATGACCGTCGAGCGACCATAACTGCAATTATGCTAATTGGGTCATGCAAGCCCTCACTTAGTCCACTTAATTCTTGCAAAAACCTCCCTTTGAAAACTCTGTTGGTTTTTATCGAGTGCTAGTTAAAAGGCATGGGTAAGCACATAGCGAAAATTAAACAATGGGCAGAAACTTAAGATTCGTATGCAAGAGAACAGCAAAGTTTTTAATCGTATCCGTTACTGGCACTGGTGCATAATCTTACTAGACAGAACGATGGCGGAACATCTCTGTAGAAACAAACTTCAAATGATAAAGGGCAATGTAATTTGACAAAACTGGTTATGGCTATGTCATTTGTTTCTAAAAAAGTTCTACTGTTCAATCCGAAGTCATTTCGAAGGCAGGAATGCTCCTTAACTCTTTGGTCACGCAATCAACATATTGCGTGATTTTATGTCTTCCGTGCGCTACTTAGAAGAGTTTCCTGGGTCGCAAGAAAACATTTGCCCAAAGAAAACTTCACGTCATCTTGAAGATCATTCCTTCAGAATCGCAAATCAAATCGCAAGTTAATCCACTGGAGGTTTGTTTTGCACGGTCGCATTAAGGGGTATAGTAGAGCAATAGTTTACATAAAGTGTTTCACCAACAACGTAGCGGGTACAGCATTGCAATGCTTCACGGATGGAATACAAGAATTTGGAGTTCCATCACGGGTTAGAAGTGATAGGGGCGCGGAAACGTGAATGTTGCTCGATTTATGATTGATCAGAAGGGGCTTCATAGCTGGACGCAGCACGCACAATCAAAGGATACAGAGGCTTTGTGCAGAGGTTAACATTTACATTGATCTATTCGTTTTTATGGAAAATACTGGCATTCTTGACGCACATGATGAACTATTTCAACAAAGCCTTCCAAGCTATCGTGTATATATTCCATATTTCTGTCGTTTCCGGGAGCTGTGCATCGTTCTATATGAGAAATACAATCCTGTATAGACAAAAGAAACCTCTCCAAGTCCTCCACAGGACCGTCAGCAATTTGAAGAACGACAACGATCCATAAAAAAGCTACGTAAGCAACAGATCTGCAAACCGGCATGTTGTTTGATCATTTTGGCGGCAAATGACGGCATGACATATTGGGTATTATTGTTTTTTTAGAGGGCACGGTAACGAATCTTGCAATCTGATTGGTTCTTTACCCGGTCAGTATTTTCCTATCTCTGCCCACGGGCCACGGTAACGCTTTCGTGAGTCGCCGAGTACATCCCAACTTTCGTTGTCATTTTTCATAAATATACCTCGTTCTCCGGCTGGGCAGTATTTTTAAGCAAACACGTCGGTCACTACCTCAAGCCGATAAATAACTTATGAATCCTCCCTTTTCTCTCTATCAAATCACTTTGGTTGACAGAAAAATATTGGTTTCAGAATGAATTTGTATAAACTATAGTGTCATTACGTTGGTTGACAAGGGGCCTAAAAACAGTCTGCAATTAATTTTAATCGTTCACAAAAAGTACCCAGAAAGTTGAAACGTGAGGTATTTGGTTACAGTTAAACTGAACGATGGAACTTTCATTCATTTAAAATCTGAATTTTCTCGAGCAATTTGTTCATAGTAAAAAAAAAAGCGAGCGAAGTTTTAATTTAAGTTCTACAACAAATATACGCTCCTGGTGAGTCTTTCCAATTCCGTTCAATTTGGACATTTGTACCTTAAATTGCAGAACAGAAATTGAAGGAATTGAGAAAAGGCTGCATTAAATTCCCTTGTGTCTCGTTGGAGTGTGCCGTTCGAATTTAGTTTTTGTGAAGGAAAGATCAGAGTTAAACACGCCATTACAGCAAACAAACGAGCAAACTCTCACAACTTCAAAATAAAAAATTGAATTTACTCACAATTACTTTCCTCGCCGTTTACTTAATGAACAGAGGTAAATCTTCGTACATGAATGAATGGTCGATGAGAGTAAATAATACTTTCCGTTAGATCATTAACTGATTTTTAAGAAAACATTGTCGTGACAGTCCTTGCCAAACTAGTTCTGTTGGTTTTCAAATGTTCCTACGATTTTTTTTTCTTGCGCGCTCTCTAATTGACAGGTGTCAGATTGTGACAGATACTTGTAAAAATAATGTTTCAAAGTTTCTTTTCTCTCTTAAATTTGCATCACCTCTATTTTAACTACCATTTACTCACTCAAAAATTGTTCAGTTTATGGAAGATCTTGCCGTATTTACGGCCATAAGTCATTCGGGTTCTTTCGGAAAGAATTTCGTCAAGTTTAAAAACAATAAATATGTTATTTACCGGCTAAGGGTCGGTCCGTATGGTGAAAAACTGTGACCTCGGTCACAGTTTTTCACCATACGGACCTCCCAGCCGGCAAATAACATATATTTCTCGACTCGATGAAAAAATTTCGATTCGACAAAAAAATCTCGACTCCAGAAAAAATCTTCGACTGGTTGTCAGAATTCGACATGAAGAAATTGTTCTCAACTCGGCAAAAATATTCTCGACTCAGCAAAAATATTCTCGACTCGAGGTAAAAATTCTCGACTCGATGAAAAAATTCTCGACCTCTTTTGTCCATTATAGCTTGCCATACTACTTATAGAGTAGGGATCTACTCTTGCAAAACATTTAAGCCTCTCGCCGTTTTTTTTTTCTCTTTTTTTATTTATTTATTTATTCTCAGCACTAAGGGAATCGTAATAACCTCGCAAAGATTGCACGCAATCGCCTTCGATAGCCGCCATGTTGTTTTACCTGGTATGCAAAATAGCGGCAAAGGTAGGGTACCTACCTTGAGGTACCAGTGGTAAATAAGCTACTGTAGGCTCACGTGACGCATGCTAGACTCCGCTATTTGGGATTCAAAAATTTCTGGACAGGAAATCCAATTAGCCTGACGACGCCCTGAAAATGTGGCTTCGTAGCACTTATGTTAATTACTAGTGTTGTTGTGGGAATAAGGACATGTATCTCCAGTACTTACCAACAGGTAATCCTTTTTCATTGCAGCTGAGCTTGTCTTCACTTCCTCGAATGTCATTTTCTCGTACTTTATACTCGATGCACGACAAAGCTTTTGATTCAACAACAGCGCAACGAATTTCCCGTCCCTCTATGTAACTGCCGGAAAAAAAAATAAGGAGCAAACGAAATAGAAAATCGTTGAATAGGATTAATTTTTTTAATTGTAAAACGTTCTATGGCTGCAAAATTACACATAGTCTCTACGCAAGGCGTGTGGTCCCACTCCAATGAATACAAAGGAGGGGTCGAATTATTATGATAGAGTAATTTTTCGCACGGGATCGCCTTTACGCGTTTTGTTCCAATCTCTTCAGGATCGTTTTGAATACTCTTGTCTAACATGTAGCTCTCATTGGTCAAGATAATTCCCTACTGAATCATTAGGCGCCAAGATTATGTTCGAGCTTCTTTTTTCTATTATTTTTTTCTTTTTCTTTTTTGCCTAGTTTAGTTTTCGCGTTATTTTAGCTCTTGTTTTGTCTTGATTAGTTATTTTTTCGTTAGTTTAGGTTGAAGACTAGCGTCGGTTGAAGACTCGAGTAATAGCAGATTTTTTGGCCACAATCGTCTTTCACATCGCTTTGTTTCGTTTTACCTTGCTTGTTCGACTCGTTTAAATTTCGCTATAATTAGCCAGGAACGTCAAGAATTACCGGGATCTTGACCATCGATTCGATTCGATTCGATTATGATGCAAATCATTCACATAACTAGGGCGGAACAAAATTTACTCCGGCCTGAACCTGTGATATTGTTCATGGTCGAACTAGGAATATACATGGAGAAAAATCTCTTATTCGGTACCAGATCTTATTCGGTACCAGATTTAAACGGAAGATTGACTAGCCGGCGAGCTTTCAAAGAAACTGCCGCAAAGGGAACTCTAAAATCGAACGATCGGCCAAGTTTGCGGCGATCTGTGTGAAACGAATGAAAATATAGCTGTGCAAAGTCAGTAATATTACTTCCCGTACCATTATATACTTTTCCAAATTTCGCGACTTCGTGGCACCCGATCCTTATTAGTTTCCGCTCTATTTTTAATCCTCTCTTTCCGACAGTGTCGATGAAAATTCACTAACTGGTTTGTTTCATGAGTTAAACAATTTGTAAAAGGTCCACAAAACCACGCTAATGACTCCATAGGCAGCTCGTTGGCCGCTTGTTAAAATGAGTAAGAAGGAGACCTTTTTCAATTCACAAACACTTTGGATACAAAAAGCAGTTTGAATAAATATGAAAATAAAATACACACATATATACCGAGTTTCACGAGTCTCTTTGAAGAGTATACGCAATGTCGACCAACTAGCTACGTTAAACAATGGTTTGGTAAGACATAGTTTGAAGCTACACTGGTTTGCAGATTTAATGAATGTAACCGAAGAAGTTACAATTCATAGACCCAACGTTTCGACACTCCTGTCTAGTGCCTTCATCAGGGGTGATCTAAACGCTGCAACAAGAGGTCCTTTTATGATCACTAATTAGCGGCCTTTTTTTCTGACGAGGTGTAAATAGGCGTCAGGAAGCAGACCGCCATCGTCACGATTTAAAGGAGCGTGGGCGGAGTTAATGTGCCATGCCTCCAAACAAAGGCGCTGGTGGTAACGCCGATTAGTGGTGATAATTTTAGAATTATCCCACCCAATTGTATGGTTGGTTAGGCAAGTATGCTCCGATAAAGCTGAATTTTCCTTTTTGCAAAGAAAAACCGCTTTTTGGTGCTCTTTTAACCGTGTACCAAACTGGCGTTTGGTCTGTCCGATGTATTCGTTGTCGCAGTCATTGCAAGGAATAGAAGCGTTTAGATCACCCCTGATGAAGGCACTAGACAGGAGTGTCGAAACGTTGGGTCTATGAATTGTAACTTCTTCGGTTACATTCATTAAATCTGCAAACCAGTGTAGCTTCAAACTATGTCTGATTGTCCACCTGGTTGCCGTGTGAACTTTAATATATTTAATGGTTTGGTAATTTATGCAGTCTGGTTTTTCTGCCGTGACCGTGATGAGTAACGCAATTCTAATAAATATTAAACGTTTCGAACTTTTCGGGTGTTTCCCCAACACCCTAAGTGGTTTATTACACCGGTTAATCGACATAAAGTGTGCTCTTATGACATAAATACGAGTGGAGTTTGCCAGAGAGAATGATAAATTTATTCAGTAAATGGTTTGAACCCGGGGGTAACATGTAATAGTGTAGTTTGATCGTCCGGGTGAGTGTAGTCCTGAGAAGGACTGTTGTCGGTAGTGGTGACTGACGTTTCGACAACCTGAGCGAAAGTCATTAATGTCGTGGATGAGTCGTTTGTATGGTGCCGGTAGTGGTTGACACCTGTTAAGGGGAACCTGTTCCAAGTTAGTAAACCAGCTTTCCAGGGTCAGTCGTTGAAAGTAGTTGGTGCTGTAGGTTAGGCATTGCGCAGAGTCCCAGTCAATAGTGTGGTTCGTTAGTCGGTGATGTTCAGCAATGTGATTGTTGACATCGACTTCCCTCGTCGCTCGTTTGGATAAAGTCTTCGTTGTAGTTGTTCTTTGAAAAAACACGGTATCCAACGTAATACTCAACGTAATACTCACAGACCTACTACTACTACCGAAGCTGACGACAACGCAACTCATACGACCACAGCCACTATACCATACATAAAGGGCATATCTGAGAACATCTCACGCATCCTACTACCATTCAATATCCGCGTCGCTCACAAACCTATTACCACACTACGTCAGTTACTGACTAACATCAAAGACAGAGACGAACCGAGGAACAGACAAGGAGCAGTATATAAGATCAATTGCTCCGACTGACACGCCTCCTACATCGGTAAGACTGGCAGGAACCTCGCAACCAGACTGACTGAACACAAACGAGCAACGAGGAAAGGCGATGTCAACAATCACATTGCTGAACATCACCGACTAACGAACCACACTATTGACTGGAACTCTGCGCAATGCCTATCCTACAGCACCAACTACTTTCAACGACTGACCCTGGAAAGCTGGTTTACTAACTTGGAACAGACATCCCTCAACAGGTGTCAACCACTACCGGCATCATACAAACGACTCATCCACGACATTAACATTACAAACGAACCGAACAGAACGACCTAACTTCACTAACGGATCCAAACAGACCAATCACGACTGACCTACGCCACTTGAGTCTTACAGCCAATAACATCACGGCAAAACTGACCAATCAGTGTACACAAACCGGACTAAGTACATTCGACTGACAACAACCTTTCACTTGACTCTGATGATGACTTCCGCTCAGGTTGTCGAAACGTCAGTCACCACTACTGACAACAGTCCTTCTCAGGACTACACTCACCCGGACGATCAAACTACACTATTACAGATAAAGTTATTCTTATTACGGGTATCCAGTCACTTCGCTCCATGGTTATATCGCTCCGAGTCAGTCCGCTTTAGCCAGAAGTTGGATCGCTCCACAATAAAAGTTACTTCGCTCCATACAAAAGTGTCTCCGCTTCATACGGAAGTAACTTCGCTCGCATCGACATATCGTTTTCAGAAAAAGGGTTTAACCGGTGAAGTGGCTAGGGCCCTTCATGTTGGCAATGACTGCAGAGACGGGTGAACTCATAGCTGTACCAAAAACCTGTTTATAGTAGGTTCTGTTGCATGCAAACTGCGTGGTTTTGAGGCAAAAAGACAGCAGATGAATAATATCCTCCACAGGCAAAGAAGGTCTTTGTCCTAGGGAAGCATCTTTTCTGAGTCTCTCCTCCTCAACCTTAACGGTAAGATCAACTGGGATTTTAGTGAAGAGCGAAACAACGTCGAAAGATACTAATTCTTCACAAGCGTTAAGAGTTTTATCTCCTATGAAATCCGCAAATTCGCAGGAATTTTTGACAGTGTAATCAGTATTCCCAACAACAGGCGATAAAATTCTCGCAAGATGACCAGAAATTGCATAAGTCGGGGAATTAACTAAAGAGACAATAGGTCTCAAAGGAATTCCTGGTTTATGAATTTTAGGTAAGCCATGAAAACGTGGACATAAGCCGTCACTACTGTCAGTATAATATTTTGTACGTATAGTCACTAATCTTACCAGCTTTTTCCAAATCAAGCAAAATTTTAGTTAACTTTCTTTGAGTTCTAAACCAAAATTTCAAGTCCAAATTTCCGTTCTTTTATTCAACTCTTTCTCTAAATAAGTTTACACTGTCGAAGACGACGCATCCTTGTAAGATAAATTCCCTTTCTTGGAAACTAAAGACAATTCTAAAGAAAAAACTGAGCAATTCATTTTGTATCACAACGCTTCCTTACATTTTGTTAGTGTCGTCATTTCGTTGACTTTATCACAGATTAACATTGTTATTCTCTTGTTTACGCTTGCGCAGCAAAGTATTCTCCACCATCATGTCAAACAAACTTTCATCTGTAAAACCTGAATCCTTGGCAATTATATTGACAACGCTCTGTGGACCAAAGGAACAGAATAAATTGCATTCTAGGAGGAATGGATTTCCTTCAATGTCGACTCGGAAGTCGAATACACCAAAATCCTGCAAACCTAACTCTCGAAAAGCTCGGCAACTTTGTTGTTGAATACGATGAATTAGCTTCTCCTCTTTTCTGGGATCAAGGAACCATGTTTTAGTTTCTGGAGATTTGCCTAAAATGAACACAAACACAGAAACAAGCAAATTGTTAATACAGTCTGGTTGAAAACTTTTCCCCTGTAAAAGTATCATGAGTGTTAACGAAGATACTTTATGACTACTGGATGAGTTTTAAGTGATAAGCAGAAATTTAAACATGAGACAATAGTAATCGAGAAGTCTCAGAGTAATAACTTCATATTTTATTTGAAATAAAAAAAGTCGCAATTTAAAACGCGCTAGCGTAGCGCTAGCATAGCCACTGGTTATAACCAAGTCTTATGACTACTGAACAAATTGCTTAATTTAAGATGAGAGAGATAAATATTCACTCGAGCTTTGTCCTAAAGCCAAGTTCGCAGTCCTCACTTGAACGAAAAAAGCAAGCAGAAGAAAGGCAGAACAAGAAACGAAAAGTTGTGCAAGAACTTTTCCAACAAACGGAAAGTCAGAACGTAGGAATTAAGGAAAAGGGGAAAGGAAAAACATGAATGTTGACGTATCTGAGCTTATCTGTTAAAAAAGTAATATGACGACCGTATCTACTGAAATTCAAACAGACCTTTCTATGCAAGACAAAGAGTAGTTGGAAAACTTAAAAGGAATTATAAGGTGCTGGACTAAAAAAATACGGTCCATTCAAACCTTACTGTGGAGCTGGCGAATCTAGACAAAGCCTAGTTTGTTAGATTAATTTTTTTTTGCACTGAGCCATCATCTTCCGAGGAATTTATAATTTGGGGTCGCTTTTCCCACAAAAATACTTCTCACCCAATCAGCAACGAAGTTTCGGTAGGACTGGATACATTTGTAGGCTGTGGTGTGTTCCTTTACGAACTTACTTGTTGAAAAGTGAAAGTAGTTCACTATATCAGGAAACTCGACCTCCAGCCATTAATCCAACGATCGAGAGAAAAAGTTGGCACATACTATGGCAAGCCATAATGGACAAAAGTGCTCGAGAATTTTTCATCAAGTAGAGATTTTTTTCTCAAGTCGAGAATTTTTTTCGGAGTCGAAACTTTTTTATGGAGTCGAGAATTATTTCTTCGAGTCGAATTCTGACAACTAGTCGAAGATTTTATCCTCGAGTCGAGATTTTTTTTTCTGAGTCGAAAATTATTTCATCGAGTCGAGAATACCCGACATGCCGTGCTGTCATTTGCCGCCAAAACGATCAAACGATATGGCAGTTTGCAGATCTGTTGGTTACGTAGCCTTTTTATACATTGTTGTCGTTCTTCAAGTTGACGACGGTAATGTGGAGGACTTGGAGAGGTTTCTGTTGTCTATACAGGATTGCATTTCCTATATAGAGCGATGCACAGCTCCCGGAAACGACAGAAATATGGAATGTAAACACGATCGCTTGGAAGGCTTTGTTGAAATAATCGCAGCGTTTTCTTTGGTTCTCGCTAATGTCCAAGGCTTTTTAGAGATAAAAGTGCTGGTTGACGACCTTCCGCACTTCTTGCGGGAGTTACTAAACCCCATCAGGTATAAAAATGCTGCTTCTTTTCAAGTCAGTGCTAAGTTTCGTAGTGTACCTTACCGCGAAAAAAGTTCAGGAAGACCAAAATACAACATTACAGCAGAACGAATTGATGTACTTCGAAGCACTGGTATGCAGTGGACAGTTATTGCAAAGTGTTCAAGTGTTAGTGCCAGGACTCTGTCTAGAAGAAGAATAGAATTTGGTATTCTTGATTACAGCGAGGTTAATGAAGAGGAACTTGTTTGGAATGCAAAAGATATCTTACGAATAACACCTATCTCAAAAAATCCGAAAGCATTACAAAGAATCGATCCTGTAAACCGCGCCATAATGCACAGATATGCAATTCAATGACGTCTGCATAATGTTAAAAAATCAAACCACTAATGGCACATTGACTCAAATCGCAAGTTAATCCACTGGAGGTTTGTTTTGCCCGGTTGCATTAAGGGGTATAGTAGAGCAATAGTTTACATAAAGTGTTTCACCAACAACCTAGCAGGTACAGTATTGCAATGCTTCATGGATGGAATTCAAGAATTTGGAATTCCATCACGGGTTAGACGGGATAGGGGTGCAGAAACGTGAATGTTGCTCGATTTATGATTGATCAGAAGGGGCTAAATAGAGAAAGCTTCATAGCTGGACGCAGCACGCACAATCAAAGGATACAGAGGCTTTGTGCAGAGGTTAACAGGGTCGTTTCCTCACTTTACATTGATCTATTCATTTTTATGGAAAATACTGGTATTCATGACGCACATGATGAATGTGATTTGTTTGTCCTTCACTGTCTTAACGTTCGGGCCATTCAGGCATCTTTGGATGAGTATATTTCCCACTGGAATCACTATGGTCTACCTACTATGGCAAACATGCCTCCCCTGGTACTCTGTTACTCTGACTTTGTTCCCTCTGGGGTGGATAACATTGATATAGGTAATATTTCCCAGTATGGTGTTGATCCTGATGGACCTGTGGCCAGTATCGAGAGAGAAAACATGGTTTCTGTGCCTGAAAGCACCATTCAACTGACTGACAATCAAACAGATGAAATAAAATGCCTAGTGTCTGATCCATTGGCAGACGATGGCAATCATAGAATTGGACATTACCTTACCATTACTAATTATTTAAAGTTGCATTATTGACTATTAAATAGTCAATAATGCAACTTAAAATATTGTAATGTAATGCAAGGTAAGGTCCAGTTCCATGATTAATGAAAAGCAGCAGTTTAGCAAGAGCGTTGACTTGTTTGTTTCAAAGTTTGCTAGTAAGCATGAAAAACCTCTCTGGTATTACCACAAGCAATTTTATGGTATAGTTATACCAATCATCATTATGAAGGTTCAAACACGATTCACACTTTAGCTCATTAGTTCTGATTATCTTGATCATTTTTGTTCCAAAACTGTCTTTTTTTTCATTTCCATGGAAACAAACAGCCCAATTAACATTACTATTGAAATTTCTCAGATACTGAAATGTAACTATCATTTGAGCTCTTTCAAATAGATTTGAAGACCTTTTTGTTGTTTAAAATTAAATAAAATAGTTCATACTTTTAAATCGTTCAATTGGCGCATTAAAATTATTAAAAGATAAAACTAACATGGTCTTATGGACTGGTTGTAGCTCAATAACTACTGCCTTCCTTTCACATAATAGTGATAAACCATTCTCTTGTAGAGAATTGGAAAAAACGTTTCCTAGAACCAGAAAGGAACTAACACGAAGCAGAGGTACACAAATTTTTGTGTTCATCAGAATTATTTTTTATTATTGGGACAGTTGGGAAACTATGAGCCTGCATATTGTACACATTCTCCAGTTACAAGCATGACTTAAACAAAAGATATGCAGTCTTTGGACAAGGGGTGAGAAGGGGTTATCGATGAGAGAAAAAATCCTCCACAGGCTGCACATAAAAACTACCCTCACAACAGACTACTCGCGATAAGTCCACGGCTTAGTTGTTCAAAACAAGGTTGATACTAATCCTGGGTTAAGTGTGACCAAAACCTATAGGCTGCCTTAACCCAGATGAACATTAACCTTGATTTGAAGAACTTGGCCCTGAATTGTCCAACAGAAAGCTAACTTCAAAGCAATAAACCAAATTATTTATTGTCACAAACGCTATTAACAAAATTGAAGGGACACTGGTACTTGCAAGTATAGGACAACACCATGTCCATCAAAAATACTCATGTATAAATTTCATATAATGGGAAAGCAAGACCACATTTTATATTTGTTGTGCAGTATGCTTTGTCAGCACACTTTTCATGAATTTACCACAAGAACAAGAACAAGAACCAAGTTGCCTCTAATTAACATTAAACTTCAGGTATGTCGCTAAAAAAATCCCCAAATATGTCAACAGTTACTTTTAAAACCTCACTTTTTAGCAGAAAACACTTCTGATGCATAAAAAAAATTATTCTTTGCAAAAAAAAAAAAAAAGAAGGAACTTGTATGATAAATACAAAACACAAACTTTCTTTATGGCACCCTGTAGCTTAGAAATGTTGAGAAGGGCGTAATATGTCTCTATATGTCCTAGACAATGCTGAAAGACCAAGCAGATGCTTGACGGAATATATTACTTAACTCTTCTGACATTGGCGAAAACCAAATAAAACGCTACGATTATTTCAACAAAGCCTTCCAAGTGATCGTGTATATATTCCATATTTCTGCCGTTTCCGAGAGCTGTGCATCGTTCTATATGAGAAATACAATCCTGTATAGACAACAGAAACCTTTCCAAGTCCTCCACAGGACCGTCAGCAATTTGAAGAACGACAACGATCTATAAAAAAGTTACGTAACCAACAGATCTGCAAACCGGCATATTGTTTGATCATTTTGGCGGCAAATGACGGCATGACATGTTGGGTATTCTCGACTCGATGAAAAAATTTCGATTCGACAAAAAAATCTCGACTCTAGAAAAAATCTTCGACTGGTTGTCAGAATTCGACATGAAGAAATTGTTCTCGACTCGGCAAAAATATTCTCGACTCGGCAAAAATATTCCCGACTCGGCAAAAATATTCTCGACTCGAGGTAAAAATTCTCGACCTCTTTTGTCCATTATAGCTTGCCATAGTACTTATAGAGTAGGGATCTACTCTTGCAAAACATTTAAGCCTCTCGCCGTTTTTTTTTTTTTTTCTTTTTTTTTACTCATTTATTTATTCTCAGCACTAAGGTAATCGTAATAACCTCGCAAAGATTGCACGCAATCGCCTTCGATAGCCGCCATTTTTTTTTACCTGGTATGCAAAATAGCGGCATAGGTACGGTACCTCCCTTGAGGTACCAGTGATAAATAAGCTGCTGTAGGATCACGTGACGCATGCTAGACCTCCGCTATTTGGGATGCAAAAATTTCTGGGCAGGGAACCCAATTAGCCTGACGACGCCCTGAAAATGTGGCTTCGTAGCACATATGTTAATTACCAGTGTTGTTGTGGGAATTAAGGACATGTATCTCCAGTACTTACCAACAGGTAATCCTTTTTCATTGCAGCTGAGCTTGTCTTCGGTTCTTCTAATGTCATTTTCCCGTACTTTATACTCGATGCACGACAAAGCTTTTAATTCTCCATTTGCTGCTGATTGAACAACAGCACAGCGAATTTCCCGTCCCTCTATGTAACTGCCGAAAAAAAAAATTAAGGAGGAAACGAAGTAGAAAATCGTTGAATAGGATTAATTTTTTTTAATTGTAAAACGTTCTAAGGCTGCAAAATTACATATAGTCTCTACACAAGGTGTGCAGCCCCACTCCAGTGAATGCAAGGAGGGGTCGAATTATTATGATAGAGTAATCTACTATGTTATAGGAAAGCTCCACGAGTCTGCATTCCTGAAATAGCTTGTTGAAAGTCAAAGGCCTACTTGGTACACTAATAGGATTTGCAGCCTCTTGTTTAGTATCCCGCCAAAACTTACTTCGTACTTCAGAGTGACCCGTTGTTTCTTTTTAACAATTCAAGCCAATTTCACAGGAAAACGCGAACGACCAAGTCGGGATTGGTTTTCGCTTTACCATTTGATTGGTCGAGAGGGTGGTATGATTATTTTTACCAATCACAAAGCATACTGAAGAAAAAAACTAATGTCAACTCGGATTACTTTCGACAAGCAATTAAAATTGCTCTTTTTAATTCTTGCATGTCTCAAACCTCATTGAGAACCATCTGATCTAAGAGCTAACAAACTTAAGCATTAAGGCTCTTTCAGGAGATGCACAAACTTTTTTCAAGAAAAACGTCTGTGAATAAACAGGTTTCCTCGTATTTTGAGTCACTTACAGTCAAATTTACACAAGTATTTTAAATGCTTCCATGTATTAAAACAAATGCTTTCATCGACAAGTCAGATTCATCCGATTTTGGATCCGACTTACAGTTTCCTTCATATATAAGCTTGACAACAACTTGGCCTATCGGTTTATCAATATCATCACGGTCAAAACAGCCAAACCATGTTCACTCCTACACGCTTCCTCGACTACAACACTTACTCAACGACAATACTACCTTTCAATGATCACATGGTCTGAATACGATAAGGCATGCTCAATAGCTGCGTTAAGCAATTTGGAGTCTTTCACTAATCGCACTGCTTTGGTGTCTTCTCCTTGACTTGCTTTGACAACACATGGATACCTAACTTGTTCAGACTTTAGAGGGTCACCTGTGGCAAAAGAATTCTCAAAGTCAATCCGATTTAAATTACCGATCATTTTTTATTTGTCGGTGGTGAGTTACTAGCGTCAACAAAGCTTCGTAGACTCATTTTAAAACGGTGTAAAATTGATGCAAATTGATACAATTACTTTTTTAATTCACAGTGGTGCTATCAAGAGAGGGAAGACTTGGTAAGGTATGAGTCGCGTCCAATTTGAACTGTTCTCTTTTCTATAAGTCCGTTTTCAACACCTTAAGCTACTCAGTATTGTGTACATTTTTTCGCTAGCCAAATGGTTTATTTTTCATTCGTAGGAAATAGCAGAGCACAGAAGCTTGGGAAGGAGTTTAAAAAGGGGTCTAAAAATATCGTTTTCTCTTACAAGGGTGTCACTTCTACCTTTGTGGTAAAGAAATCCATCAGGGCATGAAACATCGCCGCAAGAGACCAAAACACCGCGTGTAATGAGTTTGTCCATGCAAAGATATCGCGATTCCACTGATCCACCCACTAATGGAATATCCAATGCATCAAAGAGCGCCCTGTGGATAAGAAAACGAAAAGCCTCTGTCAGTATTAAAGATAAGAGATCTCTGTATTGTATGGAGGAAACTACTTCAGTCACTATTCTCTTTGATTCATGTAAGGTTACCTTTCTGTTCTCCACAATATTTCTAAAAGTAATGAAGTTTTCTTTCAAATGGAAGGCCATGAAGGCTAATTTGTATCCACACAATGAATGAAAATCATGCTCGCTATTTTGAATAAGATCTATTTACTGATCGCTTTTGCAATATCAAAAGAATCGAAGTGTGCCCTATGACAGGGGCGTAGAACAGTGCGTAAGATCATCAACAGACGTCAAGGATTTAACGTTTGGTAGCGAAACAAACGACTCAATTCGCGTAAGCTAAGTTGTTCCGTGCAAAACATGAGAATAAACAATTTATAAGAACTCGCAAAATGACGCAAAAGTCACGGAGTTAGTAATTAAAACCAGACGAGACAAACTACATCAAATTGAAACTAACAAACCCCTCAGTAAGAGATCTGACCTGTAAGTTGTCATTCCTTTTAAACAAACAAAATGGAATAGAGCCATATCTGGTTGTATCACATGTTTAATGTGCTGCAAGGCGGCAGTGATGTCCATCTTCTTGAGACTGTTTCCTCTTTCCTCCAATTTTGTCAAATCCACGATATCAGAAAGTCTTTCCGCAAATGACCAGGAACCAGCTGGTCGCACGAGGGCGTAAACAAAACAATAATCATGTTTTGGAGAATAGAGTTCCTCAGGAAACGAACCCCCATACAGCATGTTTAACTTGAAGCTGAATTCATCCGAGGGTGAACCCAAAACATGTAAAATCTAAAACAATAACAAATTTCTTAACAGCAAGCCTCGCTTAATGTGATTCTTCAGATAACAAAGATATTGAATAGTTTTTTTAGCTTTCCTAAAATGTTTCCAACCAATGTTTGTTTCGAAAATTGCAATGAAAAAGATAGGTCACCGTGCTTGCTTAAGTGATATGATGGCTCAATCTTACCCCCATTTTCCGCCAGTTATGCCTGTACAGCCGCGAACTTAGAATCTGCATGATTTTCTTGTATGTCCTCTGTGTGTATTCGTTTGTACAGCTTATTTAATCATTTTTGTATATCACTCTTGCACTTGTATATCAATTAGGAATCGGGTTATTAAAACCTTAAGTCTTCAATGGTAAAACGTTGTCTCTACTTCACAACAGGTTTACAATAAAGCTTTTACCTTTACTGTTTTCTTCATCCTTTGCTTTCGATTAGAGTGTTGTGTGGACTTACTGTAATCCAAAATACAAATTATCTGGGCAAATTAATTACATCACGTAAATAGCCCAAGTTTGCACCCTTGTAGCATGGTTCCCGGGAATGCCCTTTTTGACGTAACAAACTTTTCTGACCCAATACCCAAGATGTACGATCGTGTACATAAAATATTGAGGATGAACTGCTTGCGGAACTGCGAGGTGTTATTAAATTGCGATACTTCTTTCACCGAAAACATTTTTTGGGGTTAGTGGCGCTTCACTGGAAGAAGACGATTAACAAATCTCTTTCGCACTGAGATCCTCAGTGCATCAACTCCCCACAAATTGCAAACAACATAAAAAGCGTCTTTCTTGGATCGACGAAACAATACCCAGATCCCTTGTGATATCAATAACACTTCCCTTGACTGATTGTAACACCTATTGCAAATGCCTGATAGTTGTTATTAACATTTTTATTACTTGTACATTGTACAGCAAAGCCGAGTTATGGTTACTCCAAACCTTCGCAAGTCAACTTCAGCCACAAAATTTTTTCATCTAATCAAAGTAAATTTTCCGAATTAAAGTCAAAATCTTAATACACACGCGAGTCATTGGAAAAAAGCATTTGCAGAAAAATTTAAATAATTCAAAATAGCTTCTCAAGTATCTGCTTCTCACGACATCTTGTCGATGAAACTGCTTCTCCTCTTGCACAAATTTTTATATGAACTTATCTTCAGAGATAAATATACACAAGGGACTGTGATAATATAGAAATTGGCCACAAAAGAGTTTGAATTTGAGAGTAGAAACACCTCGAATTGAAAAGACAAACTTTTGAGCCAGCGATCTTTATCGTTCGCAAAAAATACAACGGGAACAACAAGGAAGCAAATATCTCACTAAAAGAACTGTTATGATTATTTTGTAATTTAAGGTTAGAATGAAGTTATATTTGGTCGAAAAAAGTAAAGTTTTCTTTGTTTCACGTTCACTGTACGCTCTGGTTATATGATCGGTAGCCGGTGACTCTAATAACTAAATAACCGGCATTTGGATATTTTTCTGAAACTCGAAGACAACTTATACAATCCAAACTATTATATGTCAATAGGGAACTGCTAAGCGATTGCGTGGAGATTTATAAATCTCAAGTCTAACGCTCAATCTACGCCGGGCTTCCTTATTTTACATGTTTAGGAGATACACCTAAAGAAACGGAGAAGTTTACAGATTGACACAAAAACGCCTCCTAACATAATAGTCGCCACAGTCATAGGTTTTTAAATTCGTTGACTTTCCCTGACGAACGTAATTTTCTCTGACCAATTGAATTAACAATTTCACGGGCGAATCCTGATAATGACCTCAAACCTCCCCTTCACAGCCATCTTTTCCACCCATAAATCAAAACTTTCCGCTCGTCACATACTGTGTACATAAATTAATAATTCCTGAAAAGAATTGATTTTCTTGAAAACTATCATCAGTTTATTTTACCAATTCAATATCAGAAGAAAAAAGGGTATGATTTCATTAACAAACCAACTTCAACTTACATGACCAAAAATGAAGGATACAGTGGTCAGGAATCTGTCAACTGTTCTAAACAAAGTACATAATCAACATCAAAAAAGAAACTGTTACCATCTTTCACCACAAAAATAGCCAAAACAAGATGAACAACATCATATTTACTTGAAATTTAACTTTTCCTTGACTTCTTTCAAATATGTAAATTTTCCCTGACTCAAAGTGAAATTCCCAAACTTCTCCCAGGCTTTGAACTAATCCATTTTTCCCTATATTTTCCTGAATTGTGACACCCTTATCTCACATTATCGTGCCGAAAACAAAACAATTTTTCCTTTCAAATAGCCTCTGGCTGACCTTAAGGACAATGAAAAACAGGTGCCATCTTTCAATCTACTCGCTCGGCTGTCTGTAAACTTAAAATCGTCGTCTTCGAAATGTTCAGAACATTTAAAAATTCCAAATTCGTATTAAAAGAAGCTGAAAAACAACCACAACATTTAAAAATCGCGAGAAGACGAAATTATTTTTCTGACCATTTACTCATGCAGATTAAAACACAAATTCGTACAATTAGAAAGAAATATAGCATGGATGCTTCACTTCTGAAGCTTAGGATTCTTTGCTTGTAGAAAAAAAATGTAAATCCGAATTTTTGGAAATTTTGTGGCCGCGACTATTGTTTACCCATTCGCACCCCCAGACCAATCTTACGACGTATGAAGTTAAAAAGGTCTATTTAGAGTGAATGGGGGAAGCGTAGCGTGACATCCTAAAGAAGAGCTGCGGAGGAGACTAAATCAGCAGCGGCAATTTTTTGAGCTTGTGTTATTTCATTCAATGGCATGGAGTTTCATCAAGAGAAAAATAAATAAATTCTGCAGCGATACAGACAACCCTTGCTCATGATGCTACTAAAGCTCATAAATATGCTGTTTGCTCATTTATTCCGATTCGATGCCTTCTGCAACGGACCTGGGCGCTATTGTTTATAGAGCCCGCCTTTGTATATAACAGCCACCCTTTAAATTTTCTTACTCCGAAGGCAAAATTGGCACGGAAATATCATATTTCTGAGGAACTTTTAGCTTTGAATACATTGAAAACTACAACAGGCCCTCTTGACACATTAAACCAAGTTACATAACTCTACATGCTGATTAAGGAGATTTGTATAACTGCCATTCTCAATCAAATACAGAGCGAGATCGTGAGTCCGAAAAAACCTGTCGTATTGTCAGTTATCCTTGCAGAGAATGCTGCGAAACTTCCAAGAACTTTTCAAGTGGACCAGCGGTAAAACTGATACCATATAGAAGAAAAATGCGCTCAAATTACAAATCATCTGAGTAAATGGATTACATAACACAATTACATAACAATTTAGTTTCGCGACGCTGAAACTAAACCTACGGGTTCGAGATCTGGCTGGGTTCATTAGTTGTTCAACTTCCGTGACTTGAACTAAGTGCAAAAAAACATAAAAATGTACTCTACAAAATGATTTATAGAAGCGCATTCGCGAGTGTATAAAAAGTAGTGCACCTGACCGACAGTCTACGTGCGCGGAATTTAAAACAGAGCTGCTTAATAGTTTGAATATTGTACATGATATATTATTTGACCATGCTACGATCATAGGGAAAGTTGAAATACCTCGACCACCACCTTGTAAAAGAGTTTGTCTTTTCGAAAGCTCAGAAAGTGGATTCCTTTAAATCTGACCTCAAGGGCTTACCGACCTGCAATCTTAATATTAATGATCCTGATAAGAGTGTGTATCACTTTTATGTCCGCCCATACTACCTGGTTTGCGTGACAGATACGCCCGAAAGCGTTCACACTCGATTGACCTTATTCTTTGTGGTTTAATTATGGCAAACTGTATGATACGTTAATTATTCTTAATATGATTGACAACTAGACCCTGTGAGCAGGGTAACTAGGATACCTGGATGGTACAGGATCCTTGGAATCAAGTGTAGTGATACTACGGGTGTCGGACTAGTACACTGAAATAGTGAGCTCAAGTCTGGCTAAGGGCATACACCGATTTCAAAACAGAGGCATGCTATGCATGCAAGAGTTATTTTTTGTAGGGTGGGTGGATTACTTGAAACATCGTAAGTGGTCGACATTCTTACAAAAGGGAAGAAGAGTATTAACGCGGAAAAGAAAGAAAATGTCGAATTACCTCACACACAGGTATTTTGTTTTTTTCGATTAGAGTGTTGTGTGGACGTGGACATACCGTCTGCCAAAATACAAATTATCTGAGTAAATTAATTACATCACTTAAATAGCCCAAGTTTGCACCTTTGTAGCATGGTTCCCGCGAATGCCCTTTTTGACATAACAAACTTTTCCGACCCAGTACCCAAGATGCGCGTCGTGCACATAATATATTGAGGATTAACTCCGAGGTGTTATTAAATTGCGATACTTCTTTCACTGCGACGATTAGTAAAGCATGAAATTTTTTCACCGAAAACATTTTTTGGGGTTCGTGGCGCTTCACGGGAAAATAACGATTAACCAAATCTCTTTCGCACTGAGATCCTCAGTACATCAACTCCCCACAAATTACAAACAACATAAAAATCGTCTTTCTTGGATCGACTCAACAATACCCAGACCCCTTATGATATTAGTTACACTTCCCTTGAACGACTGTAACATCTATTGCAAATGCCTGATCGTTGTTATTAACATTTTTACTACTTTTAAGTATCATTGTACATCAAAGCCGAGTTATGGTCGAAAGTTGACCTTCGCAGGTCAACTTCAGCCACAAAATTTTTCAATCTAATCAAAGTAAATTACTCAAACTTACATTTTCCGAAAAAAAAGTCAAAATCTCAATACACGCTCGAGTCATTGAAAAAAAAAACATTTGCAAAAAAATTTAAGTAACTCAAAATGGCTCCTCAAGTAAGTGCTTGTCACGACATCTTGTAGCTGAAACTGCTTCTCCTCTCGCATAAATTTT